ATCCTGTATTTGATTGTGTTTATCTGCAGTTAGTTACACGAATTCAGATATGGGAAGGGTTTAAGAGTTTTAAGAGTTTTTAAGAGTTTTAGCCAAATGCTTTACAAGATAGTATAGATATATAGAGAGGGGTAATATATTTTGTCAACAAAACATATGGTGTTAATTTTGTAAACTTATTGGATCATTAAGATTCATCCTTTAGTAGAAGTTACTTCAAATGTTTGATTTAATGATGAAAGACAAATAAGTAATTTTTATGTGTAAGTTACTTTTATGGTATTTAATAAGATATTACAATTTTTTATGTGTAAGTTACTTTTATAGTATTTAATGATGTTCATAGGTGTTCATAAGAATGTGTTCATAACCATAACGTATTCATAAGTATTCTGTTAGAATTCAATGATCATCCTAATTATATTTTAGATTTTTTATATTTAAAATGAGATGTTTATCCTGTATTTGATTATGTTTACCTGCAGTTAGTTATACGAATTCAGATATGGAATTTTAATAAGTTGTACATACGCACAAACTACTTGCAATCTTGAGTTTTAAGTAACATGCATTAATAAACAGTACTTTACGCATAAAAAGTGATTTTTAAGAGTTTTTGTCAAATGCTTTATAATATAGTATAGATTAATTTTTATTTTTTAATAATTAATGTTTATTAATATTTATTATAATTAGTAGTATAAAAAACAATTTAATATTAATAAACGTTATAAGTAGAAGAAGTAAGGGGACGCTTACCAAATGTTTACCTGGGTAAGCGTTTACCAAGTCACATTACCTTAACAGATGAATATGATAAGAACCAAAAATCTTACTCGGTAAGAGTGAAAACAAGGACCGAGAGTCTCACCCGGTAAGTGATGGCGATGACTCTTACCACGGTTAGCGCTTACCAAGTAAATTATTACATACAATGTCGTTTTGGTGGCTCAAATCTTACCCAGTAAGTAAATGATAATGTTGAATGTTACCGGTAAACGCTTATCAGGTAAGTGGTTAGGTAAACGACCCCTAATGAAAAACTTTTGATAAGCTGCTTCAACTAACGTCTCAATAAGAAGTTGTTTGTTTACCTCTTAATAGTTCAATTAAGAGGTAGCCTTTGAATCGCGAAGAAGTGAATATTGTTTGGTAAATAAAAGTCTGTCTCTTAATGGTTCTAAAATCATCGGAATAATTTTGTATCTTGGGTCTTCCTTAACCATTCAGCACCCTAATTTCATTTTGAATGATTACCAAACAACTATATTTTATTTTGTACCATCTATACTACGTTATAAAACATTTGGTTAAAGCTTTTAAAAACAATTTTTCATACATAAAATACTGTTTATTGATGCATATTACTTAAAATTCAAGATTACAAGTAGGATGTGCATGAGTACATCTTATTAAAGCTTTATGTTTGAATTCGTGTAACTAACTGCTATTTAAACATAATCAAATACATGATAAACATCATTTTAAATATAAAAAATCTAAAATATAATTAAGATAATCAGCAAGTTCTAACAAATTACTTAATCATTATCTTAAAAAGTTATTTTATTAAACCAAAGATAAGTTAATTCGTTTTTAAAGTTCAATTAAATTATAATAAGAAATTGAATTAAAGAAATTACATAAAAATGCGAACTTTTAAATAGTCAATTTGATACTAATATCGTTTATTTTTTCAAAATTTTATAATATCTTCAAATCTATATTTCATTCAAAAACAAAAACATTTTCGTTTTTTCAAAACCACATAAAATCGCATTATAACATCGATAAAACCAAAATATAAAACGAAACATTAAAATCAAGATATATTTTATTACATTATATAAATACACTTCTAATATTATAAAAGCCACTTAATTATTCTGTACTAAACAATCATCTCCTCCCAAATAAAACCACACGTGTTTGGAGTCGGAGTCGCACAAATAAAACCACACGTGTTTGGAGTCGGAGTCGCACAAATAAAACCACACGTGTTTGGAGTCGGAGTCGCACGCGCTCACGTGTGACGAGTCAAAGTCAACTCATCTGGAACCATCTCCGGCTTCTTGCGTCAGCGTCTACGTACCCGGAATTGCCCCCTTCCTCAAGCCACATACCTTCTCCCCCGAATTCCACACATAAATAAACAAATATCTCGTGAATTTAGCTACCTACGATTTTCCCTGTAATTCGCAGTTTTCATCGTGATTGTAACACCAACTGAGGTAATTTCTCTCGATTTTTCAATCTGTGATCGATTCTTTCACTCTCGTTTTCTCTGTCTTAGATAAACATGATGATATTCACGCCTTCCATAGCTATACCTCCCTTTCCGAATTTGATGAATAAAGATGCCTGGATATTTTTTACAAGTAATTTTAGCGATGATCTTTTGTTTTCCTTGTGTTTTTGCGGCTTATGTTCTTGAATATTGTTGAATTCGTTCTTTTTTCTTGTTAACCCTTTGAATTGCGACATAAATAAAGAATTCTGTTGCTTATTGCTCTAGAAATTGTGTTTGATGCTCTTATGATGATCGAAACGTTAACTCTATGGTTGATCAATATATGAAGTTTGAGATCGGATGTATTGTAGGCTTCTTTCCATTCAATTTGGAAACCTAGGATAACTTTGATATGGATAAGATGATGCCGCCAATGAAGATGCTACTTAGTAGTAGTACTTTAGATAGTTATGGCCAGTGTAGTTTAATTCTCTCCCCTGCAGTAACCAGCAAATTAAGTTCGAATTTTGGGATATCGCAATTTTATTTCCAAACGTCTACCACATGGTTGTTGTTTTGGATTCTATGAACTTTGATCTCTTAGTAACCTGATAATGCAAAAAGTTTGATGAAATCCAGGCTTCCAATCTAATTTTTCTGGTTAATGATAGCCGCCTACTTCTTGCAGGAGGTAAAAATGGAGCACGAGAGTAATTTCCATGAAATATCGGTTACATGGAGGGGGAAGAAGTATGTTGTGAATATGGATTTAGGTGCCACTCTCGAAGAATTAGGGCATGAATTACAGAAACTGACTGCAGTGAAAGAAGACACTTTGAAGCTCATTGTTCAATCCCATAAAATGTCAATATTGTTATCCCCTTTCTCTGATGAGCAATCTCGTCTCACTTTGCGGGAAACATCCATTACTGAGGTGCCAATATTTTCTTTTAAATGCTTTGCGTATAGTAAAATAAAATGTAGAGTCCAGATTTTCTATAATATCTTGGATCTTGAATTGTTGGTTGCTTACTTTCTTTTTAGGGGAAACCTATACGGATGATGGGATCACGGAAAGAAGAGATCGATCAAGTTCTAAAAGATGCAAGGACGGACATGAGGATAGCTGGATTTGATGAAGAAGAAAAGCGAACGAGGCAAAGAATGTCAAACGGGTTTCATACCCCACAGAAACTTCCTCAAGGAAAATATATATTTGGTGATTTTAAAACACTTGATCTTCCAGGAATCGAGGTACTTAATGATTCTTGTCTTGGGAACTTGTTGATTTATGTATTCATCACTCAATAAAGTAGATATAATTAAGAGTCACATGTGCTTAGGTGCCAGGATCATATGACTAGGTATGCTTCTACCTTTATGATTCTGGTTGGGCCTTTAGCTGAAATTGTTACAGATACATGAGTAGATATTTTCCTTAGACATTCATTAGTAATCAGGATGTACACGATCATTATCTTTTAGATTAGATTGTACTTCACTAGAAGAGGAAGTTTGAATATTTTAATGCCTTCATATTATTAATCTTTTGTGGTTATTGGGACCTAGGATATCATTTCCTGGTTCTTGGTTCTGGTTTCTGTGACCTTATGTATGAAAACCTTGTGGCAAAACACTAAAAAGTTAAGTTTTCTTTCTAATGTTCTTTTTAGAAGTTATCGCATGTATAGAAGTAGAACAGTAAGAGTTTTCTTCTGGAAAATGAAGCATAAAAGATCACAGAAGGCCGAAACTTAGATTCCTTCATCTACTTGTTTCGTTTAGCACTAAGCTTGATATATAGATAAGACAACACATTGTGAGCCTTCCAAATTGTCATGGGTGCGATTTTATGTTAAAATTTTCTTATGGTAAACAGTGATAGGACAAAGTTTTCAGAAAAAAATGACTTGACTATATGTGCCTTATAGTTAAATCCTCCAGCTTCAGAGGCACTGAGACTAATGCACACTCTTGCTGCGGATCGAGGAATTGTCGCTGTCATGAATAAGGTATTGCTGGTGTTAGAAATACTTCCAATTTTATCAATATTTAACAAAAACTGGGAGGCTGTATATTATGTTTCTAATTCTGATCTCCTTTGTCTATGCAAAGCATCAATGGCGTGTGGGAATCATGACTGAGATGGCTCCGGAGGGGTATGTTGGCGTAAGTCCTGTGTGCATCCTTGGTTTAAACAAGGTAAAGTTCATTTCTGATCTTAGGAAAAAACAAAAATTGGTTTCCCTTGTTTTTGTTTTTCTGATCATCCTCGGTTATGTTCTGGTGGTACAGAATAAAGGTGAGGAGATATCTTTGCGTCTTCGAACTGATGACCTTAAAGGTTTCAGAAAATATCAGAGCATTAAGAAGACTCTTTTGCATGAACTTGTAAGCTTCTATACCATTCATAACATCCTTTCTTCCTGTAATCACAACCGCATGCTGTATTGCCATCAGAACAAATTATATTGTTCTAAGGAACTTATAAATGGGATTTTTTTCACTCAATCGGTTCTTTCTTCAGGCCCATATGGTTTTCTCTGAACATGATGCGAACTTCTATGCTCTAGATAAACAGGTAAGACAAGCATCCCTAATTGTTCTTCTTCTATACTGGAACTCTTAATCATAGCCCTTTTTGGTAATCCTATTTCGTAATGAGCAGCTTAACCTGGAGGCAGATGCTCTGGACTGGACAAGATCCACGCGACACACCTTAAGCGGGACCCAGAAGTATCAACAACATGAACCGGAGTTTCATGTTTCTGATAGTAGTAGTAGCTTGTCTCATAAACTTGGGGGGAACTCATCTTTAGATTCACTGGCTAATGCTCGAGCATCTTCAGTTGCTGCTGCTTACCAGCGTCTTGTGATTGCATCGAACAATCCATCAAGAACACCCGAGTCACTTTCAGAACCCGATCCTGATGCTTCTATGGACATTAGCGAAGGTCAGAAGAAACGAACTTATGAACCTGACCCTGATGACTATGAGGTGTTGACCAACAACCATGAGCCTGACCCGGATGATAGCATAAACGGTGAAGCCATGGACTCTGAACCATGCAGAGAATCGACAGAAAACATTATTACTTCTGAACTCGATCACAGTGAAACTGAAGAAATTCTGGTTGGTGTGTCTGAAAATGAAGTTAAGAGGGAAAATAACGAACCTGATCCTGATGATACTCATTCAGACAGAAAGACAGGGGCAGAGCCAGACCCTGATGATTTAGATGGTATGTTACATGATGAAGAACTACAGAGAATTCAAGATCCTGTTATGGTTGCTTGTAATCGTCTGAAGAAGTCCATTGAGACGCTGCAATCCGAAGTTAGTCCCTCTGAGGCTGCCATGGTTTTTCAGACTCTCGTTAAGATAGTCAGGAACGTTATTGAACACCCTGATGAAACAAAGTTCAGGAAATTGCGCAAGGTTTGTGATAATAAGAATGTCATATAGAACCTCGATTGTAAAAATTCATATTCCTTACTAGCATCACTAAATAAACTAATCATTATCTGGTGAATTTATCTGCAGGCAAACCCTGTAATCCAGAAGAACATAGCAAGTTACAATGGTAAGCATCTTTCTTCATTTCTGATTTCAGTTGCATGAACTTAAGCCATGTGTGCTTATTTTTGGAGCTTATTGGAAAAACCCCATTTGGTTGGCAATAAGCTCACTTTTTGAAAAGCTACTTCATCCCACTTTTTTTTTCTTTTCAATTATGCCCTTATCTTTTCCAAATTATTTTTTCCATATGTCATTTTATATTATTATCCAGCTTACCATTTAGTTTTTACCAAATGTGAATGGTTTACCAGTTAGTTGATTAGTTAACTAGTTTTCAGCCAACAGTTAGTTCATCAGCTAGTTTTTCAAACATATTGATGGTATCACACCGATTCTCGTGTGACGTCATAGCATTTAGGACTTTATTTCATTCCAAAGTTGTGTTGTTGCAGGTGCAATGGAGATACTGTTCTTGATTGGTTTCTGTGAAGATGTGGTTCAAGATGAGATTGGTAGAGCAGAATCTTATTTGGTATTGAAGAGGAATGATCCAGGCTTGTTGTGGCTGGCCAAATCCTCTTTGGAGACATGCATTGCTTTCTAGACCATTGTTAAAGAACAGTGATTCAGTTGCATATGTACATAGAGAGAGATTGGAGTATTTGGATTTGTACATGTTTCGCATATAAAAGGCTTCTTGTATACTGATTGAAAAATCTTCGCTTTCAACATTGTTGTCATTGCCATTGTGAAATATGTTATAATCGCTTCCAAAAAGGTCAAATTTGTATACGTCTTATCTTTGAGTTATGTTTTTAAATAAAATATTATTTACTGGTTCTAATGTGTTTGTGTACATCGATTTTGCTTGTTGATTCTTGTGTTTTGTTTAAATAATTTGTATGTTTTAGAAATATCATTTGATTTAAAAAATAAACAAGAAGTTATCAAACACATAATTGATCCTGAGGGGTAAATCGGTCATTTATGTTATTCATACTATTGATTAAGAAAAAGTAAACAAGAGCATCAATTTAACTAGATAAACAAATTTATCCTTGCAGACTTAATGGAAAATTTGAGAAATAACTTTAAGTCCTGTAAGGATAAAGCTGTTTTTGTGAATTAAATTGTCTGTATAAATTGGAAATGCTTGTGTCTAAGAGGGTTTTTCTATAGATGAAAGGAGTGTTTTTTTAATTAAGAGTAGTTTTGGAAAAAAAAAATCTTGGCTTTCTGTATAAACATCTGTCTTAAATGCTTATTGAATAAACTACTTTTTATATCATTTATCCACTACCAACAATTATGTATAATAGCTGACTGAATACGATGTGAGTTGTATTAAGCTCACTAAGCTGCTAAGAAACAGGCCATTCGTGTCATGAACCATAAGATTTCTGATAAAAATATCAAAATTGATAGTTTAAGAACCAAAGATGACATCTTATTCATATACCAGGGGCCGCTAACAAAATACATAATTAAACATAATCCGCAGGGGTTTTAGCCATTTCTTGTGAAAAACCCCAAACAACAAAACTCTGCTGCTATGAACAGGCGTTGGTGGTGTAAATCTGCACAATTATGTTATCGTGTTCATCGTTCTTTCTCGTCTTCTACTGTTTCTCATGAACCCTTCAAGCCCCCTCTCTTTCTCCCTCAAAGAAGAGTTGTCGTCACTGGTAATTTCTTCTCCCGGTCGTTGAATTTACTCTACTATTCAGATTCCTTGCACATTTTCAAATATAATGATGATATATGGTGGTTGGATTGAGGAAGTATGCCATTTTACACTAAATTTCCTAAAGTTATTATTTGGTTTTGATTTTCTGAATGTAATATAAGTTACTCCTTTTGGTTAAGAAGATAATATTTCGATTAAGGGCGCTTGAAGTTGGGGTCGCATGGAACGCTAATGGTGATTGGTCACCCATTGGGTAAATGGATTCTTGAGTTCACTTTTGGCTTGTTGTAGGTTTAGGAATGGTTACACCATTGGGTTGTGGAGTAGAAACTTCGTGGAAACGCTTAATCAAAGGGGAAAGTGGTATCAGGGCTTTATCTCTTGAAGACCTGAAGATGAGTGGATTTGACAAAGATACTCAGTTGTATACTTTTGATCAGTTGACTTCTAAAGTGGCTGCTATTGTACCTTGTGGTGCTGAACCTGGCGAGTTCAATGAGGCATTGTGGCTTGATTCTAAGGTATCATGTAATAGTGATTTTGCTGGAAGCTGAAGTTAGACCATGTTTGGCATCCATAAGCTACTTTATTTTTTATGCTTATTACGAAATCCCCGTTCCGTTAGAAATATCAGCTAGCTTTTCGATACGCTACTTCAAATAGCGTTTCAATAAGCTTCAGGGGTTTTTTCCAATTATGGTCCTTATATTTTTCCATTTAATTTTGTAGCACAGGTCATTTTACATAGTCATCTAGCTTATCAGCTAGCATGACTGGTTTAAGACTAGCTTATCGACCAACAACTAGCCTTCCTGCTAGTTTGACAAATATAGCTTTGGTGTTGGCACAAATTTGTTGTTTTGATGATTTCCCAGTTATAACCAACCATTTTAATTGCTGTTTGGGTATTTTTTTTTGCAGCATGGTAAATCAATTGCAAGGTTTATAAGCTATGCACTATGTGCTGCAGATGAAGCACTTAGAGATGCAAACTGGATACCCTCTGAGCAGGAGGAGAAGGAGAAAACTGTATATACCTACATATGTTTTTCATGATCGTTCTGTTTTGCCTTCTTTCTGTTATTTCATTTTGTTTCTAACTTGAAGGAATCAGGGAGTTTCTATAGGTGGGGGAATTGGAAGCATTGGTGATATACTGGATGCGTCACAATTAATATGCGAAAAGGTTTGTTTTTGTACAGTTTTCAGCCCGATAAAGGATGGTTTATTTTTGTCTTCCTTACCAAACCAAACGAGCCCACTATATTCCACTCGGAGGTGGGGTACGAGGGAGGTAAGATGTACGCAGACCTGACATCTACCCGAAAGAGTAGAGCGGTTGGTTCCGTGAAGCTAGATATGCTAAACATTTGAGAAAGCTAGATATGAGTGAATGATAACAAGGAAAAAAGAAAGAGAGAATGACAAATATGCTTAATTTTGAGAAACTAGATATGAGCAACCAACAACAAAATAATAAATAGCAAGTAACGGGAGAAACATAACCAAGGTGCGGAAACTACACCTGCCTAGTCTAACTTAGGGTTCTAGTCTTCTAGATATTTATGCATGGATAATGACTGTAATTTGCTTTCTAACCCAGAGACTTCGCCGTCTTAGTCCTTTTTTCGTCCCTCGGATATTGATCAACATGGCAGCTGGTCACGTAAGCATGAAGTACGGTTTCCAGGTGTGTATGCTTGATACCATTGTTGTTTGTACTTACCATTGAATGCAGTAGCGTTATTAAAGAATTTATCATTATATTTCAAATAAAGGGTGGTTAAGGATGTAGGAACGCCCCACCTTGGGTGCGATTGGTATGCAGATGGGACCGAATATGATTGGACGGAACTAGATAGGACTGAGACTGGACTGATGAGAGTGAGGTAGGCGGATGGAAGAATTGTGGAAGGTTCTAGGGTTTTAATCTGGCATTGGTAGTTTAGTAATTTACCACTCTTGTGTTGTGCATTTTGTCCCCCTCAGTCCTACCTGTCCTAGTCTAATGTCGTGCCAAACTTGGGACAAGAAGATTTTGTTCGGTCCTATCATGTTGCGCGGACCAAACGCACCCTAGTGTGTACAGATGGGGAGTTGGAATAATTAATTGATCGATGTTTTGACGAGCCTGTGTCGTCTGCAACTTATTTTGTGTAAAAGGATCTCAACTACCTGCACAATATATGCACTCAGTTACATATGGTGATTTCCATCATTCATAAATGCGTCATCTGTTGTAAAAATGTAAGATATGGTTCCTAGTGTGGACCCTTTTCTGTTTTCATTTGATCAAATGCATATTCTAGTATAATTTTGAATTTAGGGACCCAACCATGCTGCAGTGACAGCTTGTGCCACTGGGGCAAACTCAATTGGTGATGCAGCTAGGATGATTCAGTTTGGAGATGCTGATGTTATGGTGGCCGGAGGAACTGAGGCCAGCATTGACGCTTTATCCATAGCAGGGTTTTGCAGGTAATAATCAAATCCTTATTTTAGCTACTATTTTGACAAACTTCCAGATCTGGCTTTTCTTGATGCCTACTAGTCAAATAAGTTTTTATGAGCAAGAAAGTCTTTAAGATCTTAATGAATTTTGGCCTTGTAAGATCTTAGTGAAATTTGATCATATGAGTGTGGGGACTGAAAATGGTCCAATAAGGGTAGGTTTGGTACGGTTGGGACTGGAAATAGGACTGGACGGGCGAGAATGAGGTAGGCAAGTGAAAACTTGCCGAAGGTTTTAGGGTTTTAATTTGACATAGGTAGTTCAGTAATTTATCAATCTTGTCCCATCTCCTGATTTGTATTCCACCTATTCCCATTCTGTCACAGTCTAATGTCCTGCCAAACATGGACAAAAAGTTTTTGTATAGTCCTGTCCCACGTACCAAACGCTTATTTATCCATCTAAAAGATTGATTTCAGACATGTATACAGAAGGTCTGATTTTAATTTGTAATTTAAATTTGTGGAGTTGTCATGTTGATGTGGCATGGATTCATCATTTCCCTTTTGTGCTAGAGCAAGATTGTATGCATTTCCTTGACTCGATGGTTTTTAATTTTTTCTTTCTTAGGTTCTTKTATGCATAGGTTGCCAATAACTTGGCTCTTAATGATATAAAGAAGGGAAGGATTCTAGACAGTTGGTTTTAGGAGGACTGATGTGATACAATGTACTAAATGCAGGTCAAGAGCATTATCCACAAAGAACAACTCTAGCCCTCAAGAAGCTTCACGACCCTTTGATTGTGATCGAGATGGATTTGTGTATGTTAATATATAATTGTAGCTTATTTAATTTTTATGTGATGACTGAACAGAATCACTCCCTTAACGTGTTTTTTAATGCAGCATAGGAGAAGGTGCTGGCGTTCTTGTCTTGGAAGTGAGTAATCATGCTTTTATAAGATAGTGTCATTCTCTTTTATGGTACTTTATGTGCTCACGCTCACACTTTTTCACAAGGCGGGTGTCTGCATGGAAATAGCCAACTTCTACTCTCAAAGAGTAGAATGGCTGTTTCCGTGAAGATCCACGGCTTGTGAGAAGTGCGGGATAAAAAGGAAGTTTCCCAAAAAACTTATATGGAAAAACATAAGGCGGAGCTACCAAATAAACTTGAAATAAGAAACACTTACAAGTAAGAAGTCAACCACAATATATGTACAAGAAAAACTACACATCATTAGTCTAACATAGGACACTGCTAACCTAACTGCTGGTTCACTAACCCTATCCTGTACCTCCAAACTCACGAGCTCTTGTCTATGCTAGCTACAGATTCCCGCCCCTAGTCTGCTACCCTAATCTTGCGTCTCCAATAATTCCTGTTAGAGGGTCATGTCTTCGGAAATGCTTAAAGCTGCCATCTCCAATGACTTTCTTTTTCTACATTTTCCCTTAGTTCTTAATAGCGTTTATATAGGAACTCGAACATGCAAAAAAGAGAGGAGCAAACATATATGCGGAGCTCCGTGGTTATGGGATGTCAGGTTTGACCTTGTCGCTCTTTCATTGTCGTTTTTTACTTTGACGTTTCTATCCATAAGACCATAACATATGCACGTCTTTTAAAAGGTGATGCACATCACATCACACAACCACACGCGGATGGAAGAGGCGCCATTTTGGCAATGTCACACGCTTTAAAGCAGGTATGAAGCTGAAGTCTTTTTTGAGTGCCTTTTTCATTAAGCCAAGTCCTGTATGCATTAAGCTGTTTCAATAGATTTAGATGAATTGTTATATTATTGCAGCTTGAGTGCTTTTATTTTGTTTGCTAAATTCTGTCTTTCTTGTGACTTCCAGTCTGGTCTTTGCCCTGATCAAGTAGACTATGTGAATGCCCATGCTACGTCTACGCCCCTCGGTATATCTATCTTTTTGATCTATAATTCTCTACGGACTGCGTATTTTACTTGTGTTTAGTCTTTTGCAATTACAAATCATATGGTGACTTTTTGGAAATGGATTCATTTACCAATAAGTATCAAAGTTACAAAAATTTTAAATCTCTTACTCATCAGGTGACATGGTGGAAGCCCATGCAATTAAATCTCTGTTTTCTGGACATGCAACATCTGGTGCCTTGGCTTTTTCTTCCACAAAGGTAACTTTTAAAACTCTTTCATAAACCAAATCAAATGAACTCGGTGTATCCTAAAAAGTAGGGTCTGGGGAGGGTGAAATGTATGCAGACCTGTCCTTTAGGGTGTGTTTGGTATCGAAACAGGATAGAACAGGACAAAACAGCTAGTTAGCTCTTGGTAAGCGAGAACTAGACTGAACAAAACAAATAAAATGACCAATCTATTAAATTATAATAAAATACTTTATATAACAAATATATCATTAGGAAATTTTCATCAAGACGATTAAAATGACACCAAAATAAAAAAGTTTATGTAGTTTCCAGTTTTTATTTTATACCTTTTCTATGTTATTAATATTTAATAAATTACATAAATTAATCAAAATATATAAACTGTATAAAAATAATATATTGAGGACAGTGAAGTGAGTTTAAAGAACATAAAATACAATAAAATAAAATTTTAAAAAAGGAATAAAATGTAAAGAGGAAGGCGTATTTGATGTTTTAGAAGAGAATTAAGTTTTATTTTGAGGTTATATTGGTAAAACATAAGTACGTTCCACTTTGTTCCATGAGGTGGGGGTGGAACACGCCCGTTCCACTCTCTTCCTGTCTATTCCACAAAAAGTCCTGCCAAACGTGGAATAATGACCCATGTTCTGTTCTGTTCTGTCATGTCCTGTCCAGTCCAGTCCAGCGCATTAAACGCACCTTATATCAAAGGGTAGAACGGATGTTTCCTTGAAAACCCCAACTTGTGAAAAAGTGTGAGGGAGAACGTAAGAACTAAGACCAGAAAATAATAAAAGTTGGACTGTTCCATCATAACTCCAGTTTCGAAATCTTGTATTTAACATTCTATTGGAACTATCGTAAACAAATCAGGGCGCTATCGGGCATCTTCTTGGGGCTGCTGGAGCGGTTGAGGCAATATTCACGGTTCTTGCCATACATAATGTAACTACATAATTTTGGTTTATTGTACTCATTTAGTTGCTGCGGTTATCATGTATTCATAATGAATGGGTTGTTCTTCTCCAATGCAGGGAATCGCTCCTTTATCGCTCAATCTGAGTAACCCAGATCCCATTTTCGAAGAAGATTTCATGCCCTTGACTGCTTCAAAGGAGATGCAAATTAGAGCAGCATTATCAAATGCTTTTGGGTTTGGAGGAACAAATGCTGCACTTCTGTTTGCAACCATGTCCTAACAAAAAAGGAGCAAAGGGTCTTTACGAAAACAGTCTCTCCACTTACCCTTCTCGTAGTTAGGCCCTGTATTTTATGGAATTTACTGGGTTCATTTGGTTTTACTCCGGTAAAAATCTTGTTCAATTAGCAAGCAAGTCAAAGTTTGTTGTGGTCAAATTTGACTATCGAAAGTACTATACATTTATGCACAAAGTTAAAAGTCTTAAAAACAACTCATAATGCATTTAGTACTACTACTTTATGCATTCAGTCTTAAAATCTCTTAATCTACAATTAAAATAACATATAGTACAATTTACCAATGCACATTATTTCCTTTCCTTTTTATGTTCTTACGATACTTTTGACATCTTTCACTCATGTCTTCATCATCTCATACCTCTATGTCTTCTCCCCATCCCCCAAGGTGAGATTCAAACTGATATTGACCATAAGTTATTAAAAATTCTCCCATTTATCTCCCATTCAATTGCTCTAGAACTCTTGATCTTGTTTTCGATCTCTTAATTTTTGCTCTTGGTGTAAATCGAACACATTTGTGGAATCGTTTAAATATATTAGATTTTAAGCTGTCATACAATTTCTTTCATCGATAAACTACAATTGGAACCATAACTCTTATTTATTCAAATTGTATTAATATGTAAAGACCTTCAAAATCGTTAAAATTCACGACTTCCACTGCATTACACGGGTACACGTATTATAAGATCAACATGTTACCGACCAAAATAAGTGCAAAATAAAAAGTTTGAAACTTTAATACATCTAGAAGAAAAAAATCGTTACATCAAACAGAACCTAAATCAAACTTTGTTGCATTTCGATAATTTTTTTGCCCTTCTCTTTTATGGTTTCTGAGAAGATTCAATGGCTTCATTGCTCAAAATTTCAGGACTCTACATATGCACAAGAGCTGAAAAATGCTCACAAGATTTGAAACCCGACTACGAGTCTATGCCGAATACATTGATCTAAAACCTTCCGTAAGCGGAACCACTTTACCTTGGATCTTCGACTGCAACTTTGCCGCAGCTTGACGTATATCCTGTAGGCGCGAATGAGAAGTCGATAAAAACAAACAAAACATCGACAAAGAACTTTCTGGTTTAGGTGCTTATTTGATTACCTCGATATGGTAGCGAGAGGAGAAATGAGTCAAAAGAATTGCTTTGTTCCTAATCCACTTAGCGTGCTCGGTAATCTGGAGTTTGATTCATTCGTTAATGCATAAACAAAAACGATCAACGTTTTCCCAATTTCGTATCGGTTACATCAGATGGAAAGAGTACCTCATCAATATGCATGTGACCATGCTCTCGTGCATGCTCGATATTGCATTTCTCGTCCAAAAAGGTCGCCTATCCAAGATTATTTTTCACGTTAAGAGATAGACGACCCTAGCATAAACATAACCAAAGAAACCCAGTATCTCAACCAGAGGTGGGGTCTGGGAGGACAAGATATATGCCGACTTGACCTCTACCCTAAATAGTAGAACGACAAAATCATGTACCTCAGTTATGAGAACTTTGGCCCTCAAGGCATCGGAACTCCGTGGATCAACTAGAAAATCGGAATTTGTATCTCCGGTGAATGCCACCTCGGGGGACAATATGATATCGGTGATCTACAAGTACAAAAGGAAATCTTGAAAAGAGAAGATGGTTGAAGGTGTTGGTGGAAACCAAAAGGAAAAAATTGATCAAAATGTAACGAAGTTTGTATTAGTTCCTATTTAGTGTAACGATGAATCAGAACCACAAACCGCAACACCAGATTTCTTCTTTTTCTCGATCTCCCTTCCTTTCAAATGAGCGTATTGCTTCTTTAGCTTCTTGCGAACCGAGTAAATGACATAACCCTGAAAATTATCATAAAAGTCGATTCTTGAACATTTTCATACTTGATCTTGAGGACAAGCGGCCACTTTCAACCAACTAAACCAAACGAGCCCATTATATCCCACTTGGGTGTGGAGTCAGGGAACGGTTAGATGTATGCACACCTGACTTCTACCTCAAAAGTAAAGCGATTGTTTCCATAAACACCCTTGACTTGACTTGTGAAAAACGCGCAAAAGAGAGAAATGCATATAAAATATGTTTATGTGAATACCCCAATCAATTGTTCACTCCAAAAAATGCATAAAACGGCTGGTGACGGTCCAAAAAAGCCCAAAACGACAACATACGTAAGATCACAAGAGTATACCTGACTGGGGACTACGTGATGAGTTTTAAACGGGCGCACAACAAGGTCGTTTCGTAGCTCGTATGTTTCTCCTGAGAACAACAAAGCATACATGTTATTACCTGCAAAACATCAAGTGCTAAAATCACATAATACACAAGAAGCATTTCAAGAAACCAGACCTACATCCAAAGCAACCAAATCAAGATTTAACTCCACCTGACCCATCTTCCTGTGAAGCTCCATCAAATTTTCAACATCTTCTTTAATGGAAGGAGGCACAAATACAGTTGGAGGGCTCAAGCTGTACAGACCACGAGTTGCAACATACATCGGTAGCCCACCCTAAAACCATACAACATTCAACAAGTTTTATAAACCCTATTCAATTGAATCTTTATAAGGTTATCCTAAATATAAATTGACCCATTTATGAATCAATCAAACTAAAGAAACCACTTCAACAACTGCAAAATAGTGGTTAAACTTCAAAGCAAATTAAGTGGATTGGCTATAATACTTGCATCTAAAATCACAGAAACATGAACTTGAAGCAAAAGCTTACAATGTGATCAAGGTGAGCATGAGTAATAAACAAGAAATTCATGGCAACGGCTCTTGCTGGGCACCTTCCGATATCAAATGCACACTTGAATTCAGGAACAATAACACAAGTTTCATGACCCCCAATTGAAATACCCTCAATCGTGTAACCTTCTAACCCTGTCCCTTTTCGGATAACCTCGGCCCTAGCTTTCCTATACTCCTGTTCTTCAATTGCGTTCCCGATTGCTGATAGAAACCCAGAATTGTTTACCGATTTTATACAAGAATCGTGGGGTTTTATTGGTTTCTGAAGTGTAATTATAGGTGGATGTTTGTAAGAAAGGGGGTGGGAGGTGGATTGGTGAAATGGGGGAAGAGATGGGAACCCAGAGCTTGTGACTGCCATGGAGAATCGCATATCGTTTGTGGGTTATCTTCGATTCTTGAAAGAAACGGGGGTTTAAGAAAGGTTTTGTTGCCTTTTTATTGAAATCTGTTTAGAGGTTTCTGCCTCTGTTATCTTGTGTTCCTCTGTCAAGAACTGAACAGTAAACTTTTACCCCCTAAACGATGTGAGGTTAATAGGTTTGGACCTTTGAAATGTTCGGTTTCGACCGTAAACCCCCTTTTGTTTAACACGGTGAAGATGCTCGGATGGCTATCTTGTACGGCTCTAACGCATTGGCGTTAGTGTTCGACTTACGACTGGAGTAATTCTTGTAAACGGGTCACATCCATCTTACTGAAAGAAAGAAAAGCTACGTAGTTTATAGAAAACGACGTTTTATATGACTCTTATGAAATGAAAATTTTAAAAATATTGTTACAGAGTTTTGGTTAAAACCAATCGAGAGTGACATCCAACTTCAAAATGGTATTGAGCTTTAGTGACACCATCAATATTTGAAAATCGAACACTTAATTGTGAAAACCCTTGTGGACATGGAGGTTCATCTATGACGACTCCAAGCCATTCATGGTCACCTAGAGACTAGTCGATGCGCGTAAGCTGACCCAAAAACCCACAGAATATATATATATATATATATATATATTTGATATAGCATCACATCAAATGCTAAAGACATACTTTTCTTTGGCAAAAGGGTATAACACCTTTCATACAGGTCCCTAACCATAATGAGAAAGCTAAATTATCTTTCTCAAAAGTAGATGGCTGAATGATGTCTGAATGATGTCTGAAGTCGAACCTATATCTCCGATTCATTCTGCAAAGATGTTGGACGACAACATAATAGTTTTCTCGTTCAACTGGATGAAAATTTTACATTATGTTTCGAAAGTTAAATTCAAGAAGAATGTGCATAATATACAAGCTTGGGTTCAAGGTCTATGAAGCGTAGCTGCTACGATCAAACGATTCTTGATAAGTGACGTCGCTGCAGACTGTGATTCTAGAATCTGTGGATACTATCTCGGCATTTTGAAGCGTAAACCCATGGATTATAGGTAGCGGGAATCCGTTCCCAAGCTGTGCATTCACATATGGCATGAAAACAGTTTCGATCAGTGTCCACATCACCGGCTGCAAAACAGATCTTACATTATTCATGAATCTAAATCAAGATCAAAGAGTCACTATGACTACATTTATTACTTAGGTGGCTGTTTGGTTGTTTTCCCATTGGCGTGTTTGTTGGCTGTTTAACGAGAGTCACAACGATCTAAATATCTCAAAGCATATTGATGTAATTCACAACGATCTAAATATCTCAGATGTGTTTACAAAGAAGGAGATAATTAAACCAAAATTTTTAATATCATAAAAACATGATGAGCAAATCCAATTGATTACCTGAACCAGAAACATGTGCAAGGTGCCAATCTTGCTCCATTTCAACGACATCGTGAAATCATCCAGTCTCAAATGACCAGCAAGATTATTTCCGATAACTTCAACTGAACCAGTGCCAGCAATTACCTGCAAGAAGAAAAACCGTTACGTCAACTTAAATCAGGGTGCATTTGGTACGCAAACAGGACATGACTGAACATGACTTAGACCGGCGAGAGTGCAGTGGACAGATGAAAGAATAGTGGAAGGTTTTAGGGTGGTTTTAATTTAACATGGGTAGTTTAGTAATTTACCAATCTTGTCCATCTGCCAGATTTTTGTTCCACCTATTTTGGTGGGACCCACTTAGGTCCAACAAGTTTTTGTACTGTCCTGTCCCGCACACCTAACTCAACCTCATGAAACAAAAAATAATCTTTATTTTCCTACCAAAAATGTAGAAGCTTGTGTTTTACGTAGCTTCAGATTATATGTATCTTGTTTCAGTTCTACTTCTTTTTCCTTTTCGAGGACATAAAATTGAGTTAAATATGATGATAATAAAGGTTTACCAACGAGATACAAGCAACGGGTATCGTCTCATCGCCTTCAAGAACATCTATGATCAAATCTGCATAAACGGTAGCATCAATATTCTGCCACAATATCTGCACAACCGGAGGATCAGACAGAGAGATGTCCAAATTCATATCAGCATTCGGGTATTTCCTGTAGAGTTGGGGAACAATAAACCTCCATCCAGCCGTATTCAGAAGAGATTGTTCAGGAACTTTATCCACAACCCAATGCATAAACATAGCCTGAAAGTAAAAGTTCGTGTGATCCAAATGAAACAGAGATGTAATGCTTTAAAATTATACGGCCGAATGCTGGGTTTGAGGATTCACGTTATAGTATAAGGCTGCTGCAGACACGAAAACAGCTTCGTCTAGTGCAATTCCAACCATTTTTGAGGAATCTGAACAAGAAACTGGTGGGAGTAAAGCTTTGCGGCGTGAAAGTGTGTCTTTTTTAGATTCGATGAATAACCCATTTATCTCGAACCCTAATGAATCATCACTCAAGAAAGGGTCATTAACAAAGGTAACATTCAATGCGGCAATATCATCCACTGGAATTCGTTTTGGAAGAGCTTGCAGAAAAGATCCGAGCTTTGAAACTCCTGTCTTCAGTTTCTCGGTGATTGCTTTTTCTATGGCTGACGCTATTTGTTCTTCCAAAGCATCGACTATCCTGAAAGATGGTAAAACGCTAGCATTTGTTCCTTTACGAAAATTTGCATCAAAACGCAACGTACTTTGGTCCGATTCCTGTTTTGTGGAATGTACTTCCAAAACCTTCATTTCAGTACCTCAGATCTATATTCTCAAGCATTTAGACAAAAGTACATTACACAAAAATAGGAATCTAACCGAAGTACGTATGCATTTTCATGCAACTCGTAAACCAGGTACCAACTATTCATTAATACCATGCATTTTCATTATTCACAGTATTCATCATGAATGATTGGTTCTCACGGTTCTCAAAATCTTTACAGTTCTCCAATGAACATTCCCTTAGTGAAGTAACAATGCCAATTTTGAAGTTGAAAAGCCTTCAATTGAACTTATGAAACAATAGACAAACCAATTATGGCATGAAATCAAAAGAGTAACTTACCCTTGATAGAGCCAAGATGCTCCTCCATCTAGGTCTATGGAGATATCACGTATATGGCAATTACATTCGATGGTCGAAAGTTTCAAAGATCCTTCTTGATTATCCAAGCCTAGTGTTAAACCAACTCCGGCACCATTAACCTTAGCACGAAAACATCAACATTCATCAATGAACTTTCCTTCTTTCAATCAAACCAAATTCAAGAATCATCAAACAAATCAAATCCAAGAATCATCAAACGAACCAAGTTCAGGAATCATCGGAAGAATCAAATTCAAGACTTCTTGAATCATCGAACAGACCAAATTCAAGAATCACCATATGTCAAAAGACCAAGTTTCAATTTCAAGTACCTGAACGGAAGCAGTCCCACCATCTGAAATTGAAATTGGGGCAAGCCAAGTACCGTAAGAATAATGCCATTTCATATTCAACTCACAGGTGACCTCTGACCCATCAATTGAAACACCTGTGACACTGGGTTTGATGTATGATGACCCGATATTGACCCGATTGACAGTGATGTCTGAAAGAGCAATATGCACTTTACCAACCACTGGGATTTTAATGGTCCTTTCGATTTTGGTAAGCCAGAGGGGTGTCAGTAGAGAAATCGCTTCCGATATGAGCAAATCCTTGACGAAATCAAGGCCGTTTTGGGTTATGAGGAGCGAGATAAATGACTGATCGGCGGTGGCTGGGTGTGGAGGAATGAAGAGAGAGAATATGAAGATGAGATATATGGTGGTTGTTGACATGAAAGATTTGAAAGAACCCTTTCAAGATTTGAGTTCGGGGACGATGATGGTGGATCAATTTTTTAGGTTTGCTTTTGGGTGAGCTTAAAAATTGAAATTTGCAATATACCGTTAAACAAACAAAGAAAAAGACCTTTTTTTTTCTTTTCTTCGTGGGTCCCATCTTGTTCCAGTTTTTGCCCATGTCCTATACTACGTCAGACGTGACATAATGAGTTTTTGTTCTGTCATATCATACGCCAAACATGGGACGGTGAGTTTTGTCTTATCCTGTCATGTCTCATCCTATGTATCAAACGCAACCTTTAGTCTATAATATGTTCATATGGTACATTATCAAAAGTCTAAAAAACCTAATGAAAATTTTGATTTTCAACGACTAAATTTCTAGATAATTATTTTATATAAAAGGTGTTACATTTTTTAAACTGATTAAATATATCAAATAGAACTAAAAAATAACTGGAGTTTGGATTATAAAATGCTTCTAAAATTAAAAAAAGACCGTTAAAAGGTGAGACTAATATTCAACCCGTTTTTGTATTACAACCCCATCACCATCTGTTGCTGCCACATCATCTGCGACACCCATTCATCTCTTGCACCGGTGAGGATGTGACCACGCAGTCTCGTTGTTGCAATTAGCATATTTGATTTCTCTAGTGCCCTTAACGCTTCAGACTCTCATGTTCGAATTTTTGCTACAATTTACAGCTCTTACTAAGTGTCGTTGTGAAGATATTGTGGTTGAACTAACATGTAATTTTATTTCAAATATTTTCGTTGAGCACTTATCCTTATCCTGAAACTAGAGACTAAAGTCAGATTGAACGTTGCATAACCAAATGATGAGGGATGGTACATGTGTGAATAGCCCTATTCATTTTGAGGCTCAAAATTAGAGATTTTGAACCAACAAAGATCGATGACCGGTCCAAAAAAGGAATCGGATAGTGGGCCCAACTAATATCTGGTTATAGGCGAAAACCCATTTTGGTATTAAGTTTCAAACCCATAACCGATCCTTAACCAATTAAACCCCCCAAATAAAGCTCAAAAACTAGTCTTCAATTAACTAACAACTGGTCTGGTCAAAGCCCAGTCAAATTGATCAATTTTACTATTTAATGGGTTTAGAAAGTCCATAGATTTATTTGTTCAAAAAAGTTATTGTGTTTTTACTTACCAATGAGCATTGAAAGGACCTAGAATTCTACCCATTAAGAGGCATAATAAGGATCAAGAATCTTACCCGATAAGTATTGCCAGGCAAAAAAAACGTTTACTAACAACTCATTTTGATGGCCGAAAATGTTACCCGATAAGGTAAGTGATGATGTGATCTTGCTGGTAAGCGCTTATCTAGTAAGAGTTTGATAAACGGCATCTTAATCATTTAAAACCGAACAGTCCATTAGGCTCTTATGGACTTTTCGCAACATAAAAAAAGTCTAGTACTTCAAAATATGTTTGGTGAAGAAAATGATCTGTATCAATAAACTAACTAACGTATTTAAAAAAGTAATTTGAAGGTTGGATCCATTATTTTGAGAAAATTGGTTTTTGAAGATACGTAAAAGTTTTATTCATCAATTTGTCATAATGTATGAGATTACGTACCTTGCATGAACGTGTATAAAGTTCACACAAAACATATGATGACGTATGCATCTTAAACTCAAATTGTTAACGTTTTTTGGTACCAAACAAATACAAATTATATTCATCATCTTCTAAAGTATGTCATTAAATTGAATAAACACGAGATCTTTTGGTACTAATGGGACATGGATTGATTTTATTGATGGTATACTGGCTGTAATAAAAGATGTATTGATTATATTTGTAAAAGTACATTTCACCAATCGTTTATGTAATTTCGACAAACTCCATTAATCGTCATTGCAGTTTGAAAATTACATCGGAACCCCTCCTTTGAGTTTGCTTGCAAGGATCATCCCTCCCTTTAACATCCAAGTGACCTCCGTTAAGTGGTCCCAACGGGTATTTTTGTCTTTTCAGTTTGTCAAAGAAGTTTTTATCTACTCTCCTTTATGGTCCCATGTTTTAACAATATCGTGTGTCGATAAAAATTAAGTTGTTTTAGGGGCCGTTTACCAAACATTTATCCGATAAGTGCTTACCGACAAAAATTAACATTATCATTTATTTAACGGGTAAGGTTTTAGTCCATTAAAACGGCATCGTATGCAACAATTTACTCGGTAAGCACTTACCATGATAAGAGTCGTTGCCCTCACTTACCGGGTAAGACTCTTGGTCCTTGTCTTGATCTTACCGGATAAGATTCTTGGTTCTTACCATATTTATCCGATAATGTAATGTGATTTGGTAAGCGCTTACTCGGGTAAGCATTTGGTAAACGGCCCCTTACTCACTTTACAGTGACCATCGTCTATTAAATGCAACACGAGCCACAACCAGCTTGGATTATTAATATATCACGAGTAATTATTGTCATTTATGTTAAGTAATGATGTTGTAAGATCGTATAATCTAATTTAAACAATCGGCACTCAGTTGTCGGTTAGTCTTGAGTTTGTTTGACGTTAATGCGATTGGCAATTAAGTCCGTGACTAGGTTAGGTTAGGTTAGCTAATTAGAGATTAGTCATAGAGTGTTCAAGGCTTAATCCTGCTTTTTATACAAATGGAATATTGACGCATGTCGATGTTCTAACCAATTTGGCTTCTTTTGAGAAAATGGTTTGAATGAGTCAATGATACATAATCCAAATGATTAGTTGATTGATGCTCATTGCTATTCTCTTTCATTCTATTGTTTAAAATTCTTAAGTTGTTTAGCGCATTTGGACTTATCAATCTTCCACCTCCCTTTTATATATAATTTTTAAATGAATTTGCAAGTGACTATGTCTTGGACTTACAGTTAACACCGAGTCCCTGGAAAGATGACCCTATTTATCACTATCATTATCACAAGTTTTGTTTTAGAGGTAATTGGCTTAATTTATAAACTTTATTATTTGCCGCACCCGTCACCCTAATTTTAGCATAATTACAGTCACTCCCCTCTTCTTTTAGTTAATGTTGTTGGCCTGAATATATCTATTATTTTATTTTATTTTAATATCATTTCATATATAATTATCTACATATCATAAACTATTAGATAAAAGTGTTAATTAGTAACTTAATATTGGATATTGTTTAATAGTGAATATATTCTTAAATTTCAAGTAATTATTGTATACATAATTAGAACTCTTTGAACTTTATAAAACCAAACGATAAATACATTTAAATACAAAATGATCATTGATCATACTGATACGATAAACTACTACATCTAAGGATATGGAAATAAGGTAAGACTGGAACATATTTATCGTTTTCAACCACAATGGTTATGATAATAGGAATTGAGGTCACTGAAATATTCTATTCTAATGGAGTTCAGTTTCATGTCATCACAACAGTTGTGACCACTAAATTTATTAGAAATGATGTCTTACACTTATAATTTATGGGGATTAATTTGGACATAATTGGAGAAACCCTTTCAAATTTTTTTTTCTTTTATATTCTATATATTACATGTGAGAGTTGGTGGGCCTTTGCACTAAAAAATGTTAATTTTGTATCTTTATTTATTTATAAAAAATTAAAAGAATATTCGCATAATGCAGCAAGATACATCTCAATTTTAATGTTTTATTTTTTTTTTGTCTCGGTCGATGTTATAAAAAATAGAAAAAAAATATTGATATTAATACCAAAATGACTTTAAAATTTCTTCTTTTTTGTGTATTTATTTAATTCATTTTTTTGGTTTAACGTAATCTTTTATAAATATAATAATTAAGTATTTTGTTAGAACTCAATGATTATCCTAATTATATTTTTAATTTTTTTAATTTAAAATAAGATGTTTATTCTCTTAAACGTTACTTCATGCATAAAAAATAATTTTTAATTTTTTTGTCAAATACTTTATAATATAGTATAAATAAAAAGCATATATTATAATGTGAGAGTTGGTGGGGTTTTAGACATTAAGAAGTGTTTTAATCTTATACCTTCATTTATTCAAAAAAAATGCATGTGACATGTAACATGTTTATCTATTGGATCCTACTCAACATAACACATGTTAAAAGTTCCTTTGTCCTTAAATTACGAGTTGCATAAACTTTAATGGCAACAAACATTAGGTAGTTATCCCTAATGGAAAAAAATATAATTTAAACCACAAGTGTGGTTTGATCTTGGCTCCAAAGATCAAAAGTATCAGGAGAACTCATGTTCAAATCCAAGGAGGAATAAAAATCCCCTTGTGGCCACGGAGGTTTAAATGCGGTGATAATGTATTATATATTTAGAAAAAGGAACTATTTCGATGTACAATTTCTCAGTGTAATTAAAAAAAACGATTTTGGTTTCTGACTGAACCATGTGATCAGTAATAAAGTATTCCAACCAAGTACGTTAGTTGAGAGGTTTTAGGTACGATCCAGCAAGTTGATGTCGACCACCTCCACTCGCTCACATCTCGTCACTTGTCTTTTACTCGTTTTATCTTTAAATCGTACATATTTATATGCAAACATCGAAGCGGAACACATGAAAGTAGAGTGGAAAAAGGAGAAACACATGAAAAAAGAACAAAAGTGATGCAATTTTGTAGAACACAAATCATGAAATTTCGATTACCGACTTACAAAGCTATATTTTTTACTTATAATAACCTTCCATTCTGAATGTTGCTTCGAACTTAATTACATATCTACCACGCGTACTATCAACGGAGTTACAGCAGTAAATATTATTGACCGCAACCGGTAAAAATATTGTTAACCTTCACATCTAATTTCTCCTCCTCCTTGCCTCTTCATCTGTCCAACAATTGCATATGATTCATTAGGGTACCAAAATCTGAATAAATATCGTGTTTTTGTCCCATCAATCAGACGAAGACATATTATTATTTTATTTAATTCTTTTTTTCTTACCGTCAATCTTCTATAAAATGATGACGTGTCTTTTAGTGATTAGTGGATATGGGATTCGGGGACAACAGATTTTTATTCCCAAAGCGTGGGTTTGTTGGACTAATAATCAAGGGGGTGTTTTTACCTTACTCTTTCGCCTCGAGACGGATGTAGCCTTGAGCCGGTTCCGAGCGGGTTTGTAGTACGATTTCTCGTCTGTTTTTGAGCTCGAAGAGATGGTATCGAAATGCATCGAGACTTCATTTGATCCACAGCTTTCCTTCTCTTCCCCGGGCAGATCTGATAATACTCGTGATTTCACCATTAGTTTTTGATTCCCATTCAGCTGTTCGAATTGTTTGCTTACATCCCCGAAAGAAGTATCATGTTGTCGGGTGGCCATCCATCTCTCGAGCCAACTCCAACTCATGTTCGCTTCCGACTCATTCCCAGATCTCACGCTTTGTTTCTTCTTTGAGCAGATCCTCAGCTATAGAAACAAGATTCATAACAAATTGAATTCAATATAAAAATGGTACTTCCAATTTGATGTTTAAAAATGGCTAATTCGATACCTGTTGCGAGAAAGCATAGGCGAGTGCCCTTTCGCGTCTAGTAGAAGCCTCTAATCGATTCTGAATCCTCATTTTCGATATGTTGCTACTCACAGTACTGTCATCCCAATCTTCCTGCTAAAAACAAAACAAAAGATAATGTTTCTTGTATATCTGGTTCCTACAGATATAGAGGTTTGATGGTCTGTGTCTAGCAGATATTCCCGTTGGGTTCCTATCATATATACAGTTTTGATGGTACGTGTCCAGCAGATATGCCTATTAGCATCCTACATATATATATACACGTTTGATGATACGGGTATAGCTGATGTGGGACTCCAACATGATTTATTTTTGTATTTGTACCTTTAGCTTCGACGCGTGTGATCTGGCGCCCTTGTGATGTTGCATACGATTGGCGAAACCATCGCTACCCTCTTTGGCTTCCACCACCGAGTTTCCAGTTTGGACTTCTACTGATGTTGCTATAGACTCTTTACTTGAGGGAACTAGCTCGAGACCACCGCTGTTTGTCGATTCAAGTTTTTTGTTTCGATGCCTGATCTGAAAGTTTTCTAAAAGTTATGGACATTTAGATATAAAGATCAAGAAAACAGAAAGATTGGTTTGTGAAATGACCAGAAAACTTCTAAATTCTGACTGAATGATAACTGCAGCATCATGTTTGGAGGCCAATTCGGTCTTTTCGTCGGCTTCTGAAGTTTCATTGGAGTGATCGGAAATGGGCTGTGTGACAGTGGCCTCAGAACCCTCATCATCAATTCTTGAACTAAAAACAGTAGCTTTCGAACTTCTACCAGAACCAGAATTATCCTCCATTAAAACCGAATTCATGGCGGCTTTCGAGCTTCTTCTAGAAGCTGCATCTTCTCCGGCTAAAACCGAATTGAATTCATCACCACAAAGATATGATCTGACAGAAGCCCATCTCTTTCTTTCAACTGCATTGTTTCTCATCACCTGATTCAATCAAAATGCAACAGTTGTTCAAGAAAACCAGCAGAAACTACACGATGAAATCAAGATTTTTCAAGATCATTAACTAAAACAACTCACATTGGCATCGTGGGTGGTTCCGAAAGATCGATTCTTGGAGAACACACTCCTGACAAGTTCTCCAGTAATCCCCATCTCTATAATTGATAGAATTCAATCAGGTTGTTTTAGTTATATCAGAAAAGAAAAAGAAAGAATAAAGACACCCCATATACTTGTTTCAGAAAGAACAATTGCATATGGTCCACTTGTGTTTCATTTTTTACTTCTGAGACAGTTACATTTGACTGGTTTTCACCTCAAAACCAAAAAGATGGTGGTAAAAGTGTAGCAGATTTGAGTGAAAAGTGGAGGGTTAAGTTGGATTAGGTAAGGGTTAGAGAACTTTAGAGCTGGAATTGAAGAGGTTTAAGATGAGGGAAGCAAGTGATGAGTAAAGTAAAGGGTAGATAGAAAGAAATGATGAAGGGTGGTTTCTTTTTACACTTGTTTTTGTGATGATGCTTTTGAGCACATGGTTGGTATGAGATTGGGTTTCCTTCCATAAAGGTTTCTTGTTACTAGGGTCATGTCTATTCTACAATTTCCTTTTCATGTTTGTACACTTTTAGAGGTAGTTTACCTGATTGTTTATCTGATAAGCGTTTATCGATAGGAGTCAACACTATGATTTATTTTGATGAGTAAGATTTTAGTATATTAAAACATATCGAATGCAACAATTTAGTGGGTAAACGCTTATCTAGGTAAGAGTCGTCATCCTCACTTACCGGGTAAGACTCTCCATCATTCTCATCGCTCTTACCCGGTTAGATTCTTGACCATTCTCATGTTCATCCGATGAGGAAATTTATCCGGTAAGTACTTACCAAGTAAGTGTTTAGTAAATGGTCCCTAATCTTACCTATAATCATGATGGGATGTGTATGTAATAATCCTTTTAATTGTATTCTTTTCAACAAATATTACAGTTAACTTTGAACGATGCTCGTTTTAATCCTTTTAAATGGTTCTGTTATACTTGTATCAAGACTATAGTTCGACTAGACGTGTAGTAAATAAAATAAAGTAAAAGTATTCATACCATATGAAACAAATATACTCGTGCCCTAAAAATTTTGAGGGCCTCGTTCCACATGAAACACTGAATACCCTTGGCATGATCGTCACTGGAATTTTTTTTCTAATTCGGGTCCTGTTTACCAAAATTTTTTGGGTAAGTGCTGAACGTGGTAAGAAGTCTGACTATGAAAAGAGATCTGATTTTGATAAGTGTTGATTGCAGATCATTGTTTACATAATGATTTGTATTCCGTGTTGATCGAGTGGAAAAGACTATTATGCCTCTCTGTTTTTTAGATTGAGAACGTTTTCTCAGTTTTTGCTTTTCATAAATCAAAAACATCAAAATAATGTAAAAAATATATTGTTCGTCATTCTTTACTATTTTCGTTCTTATTATTTATAATGTATTATTGTTTCAGTCCCTATTGTTTGCAATTCTTTACCGAAATTAGTTCAGAGACGAAAATAACAGTAAATAATAAACCATAAAAGACGAAAATCGAAATTATTATCAAATCATAGGGACTAAAATCGTAATTTACTCATTCTACTATTTATATGTTTCGAATGAAGCACTTGTACTTTCCAGGAAAAGTCCAATATTACAGTTTCTGAAACTACAGTGGCTATTCTCGGAATACCCAACAAGATGGAAAGTTAAGTTTTAAACCAACTTTTTTAACTACTTCCAATAATCAGTGACCAAAGAGAAAAGACCAAAACTTCAATCATTAAATAGCAAAATTACAAGCCGGGTCATCTTCTTGACCCGATTGAACTCGGTTTCCATTTTTTGATCATCGTAGCATGTGAAAAATATGATCTTTCTAACCGTGATGACGTCCAAACCACCTCGTTCGTGCGCACCTCGACTAACCCCATAAGACTTTTAGTCATGAGTCAGTCAGGTAAACAGACTTGAACCGGTTACCGAATTCAAGGTCTTACCAATTCAGATCTAGATTAAGAAAATTATGGCTTTGGAGTGTTCTTGTTGCAGTAACCTCATCTACTTTAAGCATATATGCTATTCATATCATTCTTAATCTTAAAGATTAATTTTTATTTCAAATATAAAATGCAAAACCAAAATTTGGGAAAAGAAAGAAATTGAGGTAAAGATTCTAAGCACATGTTTTCAACTTGGTAAGCTCTCTGTCAACGGCTTTCTTCAAGAAACTGTCCTCATCGAGAATCATCTGAACGGGCAAGAAACCGAGATCGTTAGCCATGGCAAGCATCATCTGCTTGGTTTCAGCTTTGAACTCCTCCAAATCCACGGTTCCGTTCGAATCACGGTCAAACTGCACAAACAGTGAATTGTAAACATGAGAGAGCTCATCAGGATCAGTTTTGACATCAATCCCGAAATGGGTTTCAATCATTCTGAAACACTGCAGCTCTTTGAGCATCTCTGAATAGCTGAGGAGACCATCTTGGTTTGTATCCAGATGGCTGAATCGATCTTTAACTGAACCATTGAATGCTTCGTCGTCTTCGACAAAACCCAGAATGATGGCACCATCTAAAAGCTCCACACTCATTGTGATGTGTTGTTGGTAATGGTATTGATGATCAGTTATGATTTGTGGTGAAGTAAATTGAAAAGATGTGTATATATAGGGCAGAAATTAAAGGGCATATACATACATATATACTTATTCTTAATTAATGGTTTGATGTTGTTATGATCGATGTGTGCGTTTAAACAACGCTCCTCTTATATGCATCTGGTTTTTGACCCACCCACCTCATGTTTCTTAATTCTCCATCCCAATATATCAATAAATATTAAAGGAAAACAAATAACATTTTACAAAAATGATTTAATGTTTGGTAAAAAAAATCTGTCTATTAATGGTTCTAAAACCTTCTGAACGATTTTGTATCTTAGGTCTCAACGTCCTAATTTTAATCTTAACAATTACCAAACAATTATATTTCATTTTGTATTATATTATAAGAGTTTCTTAATCATTTTGTATAAAACCATTTAGCAATAGATGGATGTTGTAAAAAGCCATTTATACAACAATGGAAGTATTAGAAATAGGAATATAATAAGCCGTTATATAAAAATTAAGACACGGTTTCAGTTTTTAGAAGAAACTGGTTATGAGGATATAGAGAAGAAAGTGGGGTAAAGGCAAAAGTGTATGGTGGGGTAGTGGTCAAATACAATTTGATGGGGAAGTCAAATACAACAAAATGCTCTTATTTTATAAAACACATATATTAATCGTTTTCTTAATTCTTCAAATATTATACTATGTGCTTAATCAGTTAAATACTCGATATTAATATATACTAGAAGAATATTAGCGTAATGCAATAAAATAAATTTTTATTATAATGTTTAGTTTTTATTCTTCTCTATCGATATAATATAATTTTATGTGGTTTTGAGAAAAGAAAAATGTTTTTATTTTTGAATAAAATATAAATTTGAAGATAACATAAAATTTTGAAAAAATAAATCGATAATAGTATCAAATTAATTATTTAATAATTCTTGTTTTTTGTTGTAACTTTTTTAATTCAAATTTTTATTATACGTTAATTTAGATTTAATAACAAAGTAATTTATTTTTGGTTTAATAATATAATTTTTTATAAAGATAATAATTAAACATTTTGTTATAACTGAATGATTATCGTAATTATAATTTAGATTTTCTATATTTAAAATGAATGTTTATTTTGTATTTGATTATGTTTATCTGCCGTTAGTTACACAAATTTAAAAATGGAGTTTTAATAAGTTGTACTTGTACAAAATTACTTGTAATCTTGAATTTTAAGTAATATGCATTAATAAACAGTACTTAATGCATAAAAATGATTTTTAAGAGTTTTTGTCAAATGTTTTATAATATAGTATAGATATGTATGTATGTATTAATTATAGGGGAGGGTTCAACGAGAACACTTTTATTTTACAAAAGTGCAAGAACACCTTTTTTATCATAGATAATTACATGTGAAACTATTATTCCATCACATATAATACACATGTGATGCTAAATTAGAGCTATGCGACTTTTGGCATGATCTAGGTTATAGACCAAGTTGTGCAAACACCACTAAGCCCCTCATATGTATTATCACATGTGATAAGAATGTTCTTAATGTAATACTATAATCCATAAAGACCATCACATGTGATACTAAATCATAGACACAAACGACTTTTGGCACGACATTAAGCACAAGACATGTCGTCCGCACACCACCAGGTCCCTTACCTGTATTATCATATAGGAGAGGGATAAAATGTAAACCAAACTATTTGTACAGACCGTGAAAACCGTCGATTTCATTGTTTATTTTAGTGAAAAAATTTCACGAAATTGTTTAATATTGAAATTGTTTCAAATTATTCATTTCATGATGAAAATGTTTCATATATTTTTGTTTCTATGTAAAAGTTAAAGTGTTTTATGTATTTTCTTATTTTGATTAAATTTCTTTATTAAATTTAATAGAATGAAAATGATAATGTCCATAATTATTTTGAAACAATTTCATCATATTAAACAATTTCATGAAATTTTTTCACTAAAATAAACAATGAAATCATCAGTTTTCACAATTTGTACAAATGGTTTGGTTTGCAAAATATCCTCTCCCTCCCTCCCTCTCTCTCTGTATATATATACATATACATATATATATATATAGGGGCTGGTTCAAATATTAATCAAGTTTATTGTGTTAACTTTATTAATCAATACTGACCATTGATTATTACAATAAACGGTTGTGATTTATCATATTAAAAATATAATTTTTTAAATTTACAATTTCACAAACATATGTGAACTAAGTGAAAAAGAGTATTTATGTAATTTTCTTTTTTATGTAACTCTCATATCATTAATTGAGAGTTACAAAATCAAAAAATCTAATGATTTTTGTTAATTTATTTTTGTTAATGTAAGAATCATATGAACACATCTATATATATATGACCCATTGTGTCAAATACGAACAAAAATTGATATATATATATATATGTGTGTGTGTGTGTGTGAACTTGGACTGTATAGTATTTATGAACACAATATGAACATAATAAGAATAGTTGTTACACGAAATGATATAAATAAAAAAACAAGTATGAACACAGTATAAACAACTTGTGAACAATAGTTTCTTTATTATGAACATATTAAGGAATGAGCCAATGTTGAGATCTGCAGCTAGTGTACATATGAACACAATATGAACACTTGTGAACAATAGTTATTTCATTTATGAACAATGAGTTTGTCCATAATAGTTTGAACGATACCGAAAAACTTTACTACCGGGTCTCCTTTACCAATCACAAATTCAAAAACATTATAGATAGAAAAATCAATATTATGAAGAAAAAAAACAAGATAAATAATAAATTAACAAAAATCATGAGATTTTTTGATTTTGTAATTCACAATTAATGACATGGGAGTTACATAAAAAAATTACATATTACCCTTGTCATTAAATTATAAGATGAATATGAACTTATATATAAAATGGATTGTCATTGGTTGAAAATGGTTAACAAAGTTAACACAATAAACTTGATTAACATTTGAAACACACACACTCACTCTCTCTCTCTCTCTCTATATATATATATATATATATATACACACACACACACTAATATATGTAGGTAGGATCTTTTGTTAACTAATAAAAAATGTTTAACTTTACAATCTATTCACCAATCAGGAACAAGTTATACATTTAGTCGATTCAGGAGGTACTTAATGAGGGGAAAATATAAGGTTTAATGGCGGGGACCTCATGGCCCCGTGGTCCACATTTTGTGAACCTTACTTGCCATACCTCATAAGTAAGCACCGGAAAAGACAACCTGTCCTCCCCTAGAATCGAACCCGGGTGGGCACGCCCAAGGCAGGCCAAGGCCTAATGGTTATTTACAGAAGGAGGGGAAAATGTAATTGTCTATTTGGTTTTGCTTTTAATGCATAGTAATGGACGGTTACATTTTCTAAATATTCCATGATTTTAGCCTTTGTAATAGACGGTTACATATTCACAAGTGAATATGTTGGACACAACATTGAACCTACATGTTGAACAAAGTTCATAACATGGAATGAACCTTAGATGAATGTTGAACAATGTTCATAACTTTGAACCTACGAATGTTGAACAGTGTTCATAAGTTAACACGTGGGCACCTAATACAAATACCAAACTCAATAAATTTGAAACACCATTGTTCATCACAACTAACTTAAAATTAATATACGATGACAAAAAAAACCTACTAATTAAATCTTGCCTTAAAATTTATCGTACAATTACATTTTCTAAGTATTCAATGATTTTAGCCTTTGTAATGGACGGTTACATGTTCATAAGTGAACATGTGGGCACAAATTGAACCTATAATCGTTCGAAAGATAGAAATTTGTGGGCATTCATACCTTGATTTGTCAATGAATCGACATGAAATCATTTGGAAGTTTAGCGATGGCGTCCCAAAAGAAATTGAAGTTTGAGGTGTATGACGAAGCAATCGTCTCATATTGCACCGGCGACAGATGAACTAGAGAATGATTCTTTTTCTACTGAGAATCCGAATCCTACACAGGAGATGATCCAAATGAGGATTTACGGGTAGGAGTAACGAATACAGTATAGTAGCCGATCTTTCCAATCACCGGCATAATCGGTTTTTCTATCTGAACTGGGAAACTACTTGCAGACTATGGGGTGCGGCCTTTTGAGAGGGACGACAAAGGCCGAGAATGAGAGCGAATATTAATTTGGGATGTTTTTATCTCGTTGGAGTGCCCGTGGTGATGAAAGATGGGAGCAGATGGTTTTGAAATATAAAATTACAAGTTTGTCCTCGAACTTCCAAACTAGACATGAGATTGGACATGCCTTTCACTAATATTACAAAAAGTGTCATCGTTTTTAATGACCTTTGATCAAAACCCATGGATGATTGAGATTAGTCTTCACGGTCCATTCTTATTGGTTCTCATTTGATAGGGTTGGGTTTCAGTGAAGAATGAACGTTATGGTGAGAAGGGTAAGAAGGATCTCAATCCTTGGATCAATCTAATTGAAGAGAACCACTAGATCAATTCCCTTCTAAAACGTAATTCATGGGTTGTTTTGGGATCAAAAGTGATCAAGGATCTAAATCCCTTCTTACATTTCTCACCTTAACTCATATTCTCATACGATTCTTCATCATATATGACAATGATTAAATGTAACAACAATTTCTAAATCATGAGTCATTTTGTAATGATTGTTAAATTTTTAAGAATGTTTTTTTTGTTTTTGATTAACCTGGATATCCAACCTGCTATGCGAGCCGACTAATCCCAGGCCAACCACCTGCTTTGCAGATAGTCCGGAGTCGCCGCATTTGAACCTCCGTAGCCATAAGGGGATTTTTATTTCTCCTTGGATTTAAACCTGGGACCTCCTGGTACTTTTGACCTTTGGAGCCAAGTTTAAATCAATCAGACACCACCCTTGTAGTTAAAAGAATGTATTTTAGACAAGATAGTTTAGATGATACCATAAAACTTGTTGCATTTAAAATTAGTTTACATAAACGAGTCGATCATCAAAATTGGCACCTTAACCACTACATATCCGCATCATGTAACATCTTAGATTTTGGTATTTGGGTGT